GTTGTCTCATCAATTGTTACAAAACGCCTTTACCCACCACGAGCTTCAATTCCCCTCAGAAAAGAGTTTGAACTAAAAAAAAAATATTGAGCGACAACTTTTTTTGACGAGAGAAAGACCTGAGTGGAAAGGCTGAATGAAGCCCAAAAGTTCGTAGCCATGAGTGAAAAAACTATAATATGCCTCGCTAAAAGCCTTTTCCCATTTACCCACCCCATCACCAGAAATAACCCAATTTTATCTTTCCCCCGCCAGTACATTATTTTCATTATTAAAAAAGTTTCTGGATAATTTAAAATTAGGTAATAAATCCAGGGAAGAGAATGAAATGAAAAGAATATTAAGCTGGGGAGAAGGTCTCCAAAGAATTTAAATGAGTTAAAATTCTCGGTTCACCGAAAACCCAGCTAATTAAATAATTAATTACAGAGGTTCAATACAAATTGAAATTGCTATAATCCGCGTTATTGAAGACGTTAGAAATAACAGAAGTTGATTTTTAATTTTTGATTTTATAATGTACTCTTCAAAAAAAATATGTAAATCATAAAAAAATGGGTTAGCAAATCGAGAAAAGAGTGAAAGAAATGAAAATAGTGAAAGAGAGTGAATAAAATATACAAAAGTTCCTTAAAAAAATTCACTTTCTCAGCACTCGAGAGGATATTATGTATGAATTCATGAAGTCCTGAATTTATTAACCCACTTCTACCCCTGGAGAATTGGAAGAGCGTTATCAAAGCAAAAGCAGGAAATAACAGAGGATTAAAACTAGGCAAGATGACTCTTCCTTTTCTCCCAATGTACGTCATAGACCATGACTTGCGTGTGAAAGCAAGTGGTGTCTCATCGCTACATCCCAACAGACCTCATGAGGGTTTTTTTCCCTCTTATTGACGCAATAATCCTCGTAAACCTCTGGCTCTGACCATCCATTTCATCCGAACATTAGCAAATGTGCGAAGGGGAAAAAAATAACACATCCGAGAGCATTCGACCCCATCTAGCCTCAGTGAAACTCAAGGAGCCCATTTCCAGGGAAGTTGGAAAAGATAACAAAAGACTGACCGAAAGTGTTTCCTCTTTCTTCTCAGGGTTTATTATTTCCTTTGTTCCTTGAAGACGCATTGAGATTGCCACTGCGAACACTTGTTCCTCGCACTGAGATAAAAAAGCGTCCATTGAAAGTGTACATGCTCTTGATTAAAATTTGCAAAAAACATATTTTTATTAGCAACCAAATTGATTCTTGAATGAATTGTGCACTTGAATCAACACTCCGCGCACTTGAATTGGAATCATGCTAGGGTAAGAAAACGAAAACTATATTCAAGTGTGTGCATACTTTCATCAAGACTCTATATTGCGACTCTATATTGGCTCGAGTAATTTCGGCCTTGAATCAAGGAAAATAAAGATTAAGTGACGACCAATCGCGTAAACGCTTAATCGACGCTTTTCTGTATCAGTGGACGCTTATTGCACCCTGACCTCAACGTTTACTCCAACTATATGCACACACGACACGACACACACTTGCACCCCTTGCACCCCTTGCACCCCTTGCACCCCTTGCACCCCTTGCACCCCTTGCACCTCTTGCACCTCTTGCACCTCTTGCACCAGTGTCTCGTGACTTGGTTTGTACACCTTTACCTCGGTGAGTTGAAGGCGAAAATCAATAGGACTTAGCAGTTACTTTAAATCTCGGTGGAACACAACGCGATACAGTTTCCCAGATTTCACGTCCCCTTTTGTTGACTCTCTGCTGTAATTAAAAGCTTTACTTTGTTAATTTCTGGGGACCCATTGGAACAACAGGGAAATCTTAATTAAAGGACTTAGAGGCTTTCTGGTGCAGATGGGGGATGGAAGTCATGAAAATCTATTAATTTTCATTTTCATTTTCATTTTCATTTTCATTTTCATTTTCATTTTAATTTCAATTTTAATTTCAATTTTAATTTTAATTTTGATTTTAATTTTGATTTTAATTTTAATTTTAATTTTAATTTTAATTTTAATTTTATTTTTAATTTAATAACTCTTTATGAACCGACAGTAGTGGCTGTGCGCTTAGAGTGCCATATTAGCATGCCAATGATCCGGGTTATCCCTATAATCTCACAGTTTCACTGCCGATCGGTAGTCCTCTCAAAAGTCTACGGAAATTACAAAAATTGAAAATTTCAATTATAATGAACGAGAATGAGTAGTTGCTAAAGATTTGGAGATTTGAGTGTGAAAATGCGAATGTCCCACTGAGACGAAGCAATAATAATTATACAATAACAACCGAATCCACGCGAAGCTGAATACCTTGACATAATGACAGTGAAATGGATCGTTCCAGGAGGAATAGTGAAAATTGTTGGAGTAAATTGAGATTTCCGAGTAATTACGAGGCTTTCTCGGTTTGATGATCATAGAAAATTGGAGCTTCCAGAATATTTTACGCTTTCCTTTCCTCCATGCAATACTTTTTCTTCAGGTAATACCTTTCATCAAAATAATTGGCTCTATTCAAATTCTTCCAGGAATATGGAAACGATTCCACGAATATTATTTAACCCCCCCCCCCAAGCCGATAAACTAGACTTATAGAAAAAAATCTTAAATTTATTGTATCCTGGTCACGTCCGTTGTATTTTCGTATGGCACTTAACCAACTGTACCCCCGGAGCAATAAAAATAGTGAAGAAAAAAACGTGGTAAAAAAGCACCTTTATCCGTGGCTTTCAGCTTAATGAGAAGTACGTCGTTAAAAATTCTTCAGACGGTCTGGTTTAATACATCCCCGAGAAAAGAAAAAATCATGGGCACACAGGAGACTCCAAGAACCAGAACAAATAGCGGTACAACCCTTTATATACGCAATATTCTTCGCCTACTTACGCTGACGAGTTCCTAGGAACACCAGTGAATGTCTGTCCAGTGGGAAATACTGGGGATGAGCTACGGTGTATGCACATTCCAATTCGAATATTTCAAGCGCATCCAATGTTCATCCCTTCAACTATGCTACGTTAACCCTTTGAAGTTATGCGGGGAGCAACGGTGCATAAAGTGGGAATTATTCTTGGAAATGTTGGATAGAAAATCGTCTAGACCCTGAGCAGATCAGTTCATTTTCAATATCTAATACTTCGGAAAAATTTCAGAGAAAAATCCACAAGTAAATGATCAGTGTTCGAAACGCTCGCTTTTTCATCGGTTTTTTGTATAATTCCTCTCTATCTTTCGTGTTGAGAGAATGTATCGTGTGCTCATTTGAAAGCTCATGGAATAAGAAAGAAAAAGAAAATACGTAAACTATGTAGTTTCCACCATTTTTTATTGAGTTATGGCGTTTGAAACGTGAAAAGGTGACACTTCTGTTATACCTAAATTATCACTTTTACTCAATTTTCACATAGTACACAACAAAATCATTTTTTGTTCGTCGCAATATTTTTTTCAGAATTCTTGGATTTGTTCAATTTCTCACTGTTATATCATACTTTAAAATTCACCTTTAGTGGTAATTATCTATTCATAATGACGTGCGAATTATCAAATTCCAGTGAATTTATCAAGAGTAATCTACGACATTTTTTAGAAATTTTACATACCACATTTTTAAAAATACCTAGGAATTCCGTTTTAATAAAATCCATAATCTTTTTCATCCTCGAAAATACTCATGTACCTATTCGAATTGCATATACAAACGAATCTAATATGTAATCGAAAATAGTAAAGACAAGATAAAAATCATAGAAAAAATGTCTAATATTGAATTTTTTAATAAACATTAAGGTACTTCCGCAGGTACTTCTAATAAAATACATAAAATTTGGATTATCTGCTGCTAGGTAAATGCAAAAACTATTTTCAGAATTCCAAAGACTTCGACCATACCACGTTTGAAATCTGCATCATTAAATACCAAGATGTCATGTTTTTTCAAAGTTTAACGTTGCATATTTCAATAAAAAATGAGGTAGTTACCGCTCTTGTAACTTTGGCAACATTTTGCCATTGTGCCCATCAATAGATAGTTCAAATATGGCTTTCACCTTATTGAGAAATTATTCGCAAGTATAAGTGGCTGCAGAAGTATCCTAAACTGATTAGATTCAATTACATGCAAGGTGGCCCACGCGCCGTACTAGTTTTTTTTTCATTGCTGCAACTCAAGAAAAATTTCTTCTCCGAAATTTATGCAGCTACAAAAAGGAAACTTCATATTTCCACATTAAATCAATAGTTTTACGATACAAATATGACCGTACGCATGAAAAGGGTGTAAAAGGGTGATCATATAGCAACCGCCTGTACCGACATGGTTTTTCCTGTGGTTTCCCGTGTTACTCCCATTCTATAGGAGAGTGAATACGTTACAGTGTAGGATCGACAGCCCATGCATAGGGTGGGATAGGATCAATTAGCCTGAAAGGGTGGCAGAAAGGGCCGGAGTATAAGAAGAAAAAAAACAGGATCCCCTAGTTGAAAAATCACAGTTATGGAAGTTTTAAGTTCAATACACGAAAAACAAAAAGATGTGGGCCCTTTTTGTTTTCTTTTAAAGGCAAAATAACCGATTTCTAATCAAGATAATAAGGTCCAACACGTCTCATTCGACACAAGAAGAGTTCTAGTTAAGTCTGAGACAATAAATCAATAAAAAAAGATATATATAATAATTTTTAGCCCTTCGAGTAAAATGCGAATATGTGAGGAACTAGGTCCGTTTAAGCGGGCCCTTTACGCGCGGGAAACCACGAATAGATGATTAAAAATTGGTAAATTGCTGAATAGTACTGAATTCCCTACAATACAGTTGAATTTCCATTCCCAACGGGAAATTTGACAACTCTGTCCGTTAACCAAAATCAGTGCCACCGAGAATCATAATAAATGGATTGGATAAGCTCTTGGAATATCAACAGAGTTTGGCCATAGATAACATTTGTCGAACTATCGCATTGGTGTCACTAAACTGTGAAAGTTCTACTCACTTGTTGATTTTCCGTATGGTTTGCTTCAGAGCTGGAAAGTCTGGTCGATCTGCCGAGTCCTGCGCCCAACAACGTCTCATAAGTGTCGCCACCTGTTTCACCGTTCAATAGAAAAAAAAAGACATATACCAGAGACATTTGGAAAATCTACTATTTTTAATTTGCCAGTTCTTCCTCTTTGCTCGATTGCATTTCATGCAATTTTTTTTTATTTAGTTTTTCTCCTTTCTCTTTTCGTTTTTACTTTCGAATGGAAGCATTGTAATCATTGAATTTATTTTTTGTATTTTTCGCTCTATATCGACCGATTCTGCCCTGAAAATTCGGAAATAGTTTATATAACTTTCATGAAATAGATTTTCATGAAATAGTTTATATAACTATAAATTATATTAAGTAGCTCTTGATATGATTCTTCAAACGATTTTACTAATTCCGAATTTCTCATCTATTCTGGTTTTATTTGTGATGAAAATATTCCGGTAATATTTTATCGGAATTTTAAGATGATGGCAGACCAAAATTCGGAAAGATATTGCTAATTTATTAGTAAAAATAACTACACCATCTAATAAAAGAGCAATCTCCCACTTGTTATTTCACTAACCATCATGTTTATTGTTTTCTTAATGTCAATGTCGATGTTTTATTGATAGAATACTGGTTTATCACAATCTGCTCCCCTGTGCATGCCATCACTCCCCCAGTAATGGAGCGCGTAGGAATTATCTAAGATTACAATACCCTCCAGAATGAAAGTAGACCCTTCGTTAATAATTGATACACCCGTGTGAGAGTAATTGCATTAGGTCACGTAACCGCAAGAAAAAATCTTCCCTCTGCAAATGATTTTCATGACCCCAGGTCGAGACCAGAAAAATAATATTTAAAATAATAATATGTCTACATGAGATCAAATGGAATTCTCTCTCATCCTAATTAATTAATACACTGGATAAATCTCCATGCTATTTCACCAAACTGAAAATGAATTATTTTTTTTCGATTTACGTGCACCCACCGGTGAAATTAATCAGATGATCATTCGGATATAAAAGCATTGCATTATAATTAGAGTAATGACTGTAGGCAGGGGAAAAATTTGAAAATGTCTATCGAACTCACTTCTTCTTCGACGGCAGCTTCATCGATCAATGGCCTGAGAGGGGAGCCTCCACCCCTTCTCACACCCTCAACTATTTCTGAAACACAAAAAAATTGCGGGATAAGTTGCATCAATTTCCTCAGGATTAACGCAAAGAAACTGCTGACCGTAAAGCCCCTGGCTAATGAGGGGAAAAACGGGGGTAGAAAATCCATTTCAGGGATTGATTATCTTAATCATTCATTATTGATGAGTCACAAATTAATTTTCACACCTGATTCAGTTGGCAATGAATACCTCGAAATTTATTTTTGTTATCGATTTTTTAATTATAACCTTTTTTATACAAGAATTTCCCAATCTTCCATAGATGTGGAAATATCTTTCTAGAAAATATCTTAAATATCTTTCACGCGTTCTGTCTGTTCTCCATTTTTCTTTCCCCTTCAATTTTACATATTATCGTATGAACTTCGCCAGCAGTTCAGGTAAACTTCGTTTCTAGTGATCATGAGATACTCGGATTCGGTATCAGAGCGTTGTTCGACCAAGGGATATCGATTGTATAACCTGCCTTCATGCAAGTCGATTGGAGAATATCGTGACAACGTCCAGCTCCACTCGTGATTATGTACATAACCCAACGATTGAAAAACCCTCCAACAAAAAAAAACACCAATTTGCCCTGCTTAACAAAAAAAAAGTACAAAAACGTTTTTTGGACAGAGAAAAATGGTTTCCCAGAAAAAAATTCCCGCCAGGGAAAATTTAGTTAGTTCTCAACAATTTAGCAATGACATATACATTACAATAAGAATCTTACAATGACAGTACATTTTGAGTAGAATTCGAGAACCCAAATGTTTAAAAAAAAAATGTATTTGTGTGAAAATAAACTTTTCCAATCAAGTTGAAGCTTTAGATTTAAAAAAAAATTATTTTGAATCGTCTTAATTACTGTACATAATTACTGTTGACAATTTACCTCTTTAATTGCAATAGGATTAATTTGCCTTTTACTTACTATATTATTCATTATTGCGCAGAAGATTAATTTGAGTTCACAGTCAATAAAGAGATTAATTTCAGACCATCAGATATTATTCTTTCAACGGAATGAATTTCTTCTTTTTGGAATCAATCACTCACTCGTTACCCTTAAAAGACAGATGCACTCAATATTTTTGAGCAGAACGAATATATTTTTCGACAGAACAAATTATTTCTCTCGGTGTAACGGAGTGAGCTCAAATGATCTCATGCCACACACATCACTTGTCAAAATTCCACGAGGAATTCCAGATTCTCGGTGGATATCTCCTGAGAAATTCGCTTGCGCTCAAACTCTGAAACACCCTCAGTACCTTGAAACAAGTGAAACACGTAACCGCTATGGGCGGACGTGGCTAGAATGAAGTTGCAACAACACTCGAGTCTATTTTCACAGATCGAGGGAACATTCGAGTAAATTCTTTCAGCAAGAATCCTGCCCAATGCATTATCTATCATGTACTCGTGCATTCCACGAAAAAATAAAAACGTACTAATGAAAAATTAACAAATAGAAAATCCTTGTTTCCACAAGGATAAAATATAAAATTGAATGAAATATAATTCCTCGTGTTTTATCAATACGAACTGAGGCCTTCGTGAATGCAAAAGGAATTAATGTACTTTCATAATGAGTCACGCTATGTACCCCAGCACTCAAATACATAACGATCAATTTATTTATTTATTTTCCTCTAGAATAATCGAATAGATTATTGAATAATTTAGCAACCTTGCGGGAAGCTCAACGTACTGTGCCTGTAGATGTCCTCGAGGTAAACGCTGCATGAGTCGCAATTCAAGGTACAGTGAGGCCTTCGTACCTCCAGAAGAGGACTGACAGCTCTTCTGGGACTGGCACCACCATCTGGACTTGCACCCTGAAGCGACGGCAATGCCAGCGAACTTGTACTCGAAGCATTACTCCTCTCTGCCATATTTCACCTCGTTTATTGCGCAAATGGATATCCAGTTCGTTTTATCAATTCAACATCACGGGAATCTGAAATTTATTCATTCCCCACTGTCTCCAATTTTAGAATAATTCAACCTGTGACTCTTTAGTTTTGATTTGCTGGTGGCTGATCAACGGTATAAGCGAAGAATTATGGAAACCCTGGGCTCAGATCTCGCGGTAATCCCCGCTTCGCTGTTCACTTCCCGTTGGAATTAACCGGGATGAACGTGATAACACTTACTAATTAACACCCAACGAGGCTAACATCCTTTGAACTTTACCCCAATACCCCAATCCCCCACATGAACTCTTGTTCTCGCGCTCGGTAATCCAGGAATGGATCCATTCCCCGAGGAATACCAATTACCTTGGGATATTCGTCTTATGGGAATTAATATTGTCGAGGTGTTAAATTATTTCGATCATTCCCATTCCACCTTGCGCATAAATATTAGACAGCTTTCAAAATCCCAAATAACATTTTAAAAAATAATAGTACTAAATAGAAATCATTGTTCACAAATAATGACAATTTGTCAATGTTTTCTTTTGGTTAAAATAAACAATTAAATCGAAAACTTGAATATTTCGGATGAAATATTCGTAAAATTTGGGAGAACTATCGCGAAATGATTTATTTATTTAATTAACTACTATAATTATGGGATTACCAGGATTTTGTCATTTCAACTGAAACATCTGGAGTATATTCTCTTTTTAAAAATGTCTGTAGGATTTTGGCATCTACAAACGAAATATGCAGCAACATACTTTACCTCGGACATTACTTTGAACATTCTTTTACCTTTTTTACCCCCAGTGCGTTTTTCCTCAAGTTAGTTCATTCCCGTAACCCCTTCATAAGTAATGTCACGAGGAAGAAAATAATGGTGGAGTGAGACCGAGAAAATATGTCCGGGACCCTATGGGTAGAGCTTTGCTGATGAAAAAACTCGAGGTGAGAAAATTGCCCTCTCCCAAGACAACCATTGAGCGACATTGTCACTGGGTCACTGAGTCGAGTTGGAAAAAAATATAGAGCGACGATGATTTTCTGACGTACCCCACCTTACCGCTCCATTACACTCCCCCATTGCCTCCAATTTTTTCTCTCATTTTTACAATCAATCTTATTAACGGAGATAAATAGAAGTGAACTCCTGAGTTCATCGATCCCCCAACATCCGAAGTAAAAAAAATCCGTTTGTACCAATTCTGTTAAAGACCGGAATATGTAAAAAAAAAAAACATAGCTCGGAGGCAATCTGTCAGGGGAATGAGAAAAATTGGAAGCAATAGGGGAAGCGATGAAACGCCCGGCGGGTCGTTTGAATTTTTTGAATTGAAGATAAAAGCCAATAGAGATATTTCCAGTCGAGATGAACGGGTGAGAAAACACGGATATAAATTAATAAAAATATTTATTTTGCGGGCTTTTGAATACACGAGTGGATAATTTTTCGATCGTTGATAGATCTGCAATGCGGAATAGAAATTCCAAAGAAGTTCAATCAATTCCGAGGGCGATGAGTGGAATTAATTCCGTATTCAGTGGATCCGATTTGAATCAAATGCGAATGAATCCGAAACCGATTAACTGGAGATTTCAGAAGCCCTATAGAGAGGATAATCCCCGTATCTAATTGTCACATTGGAGGGCTAATCAACACGTGAGCAGCCCCAAACAATTCAACTCCTCGAAATTATTTCTCAACTTGAGTAGGTGATGAAAAAATCGAGACAGTGGGAGATTACCGATGGATTATCACTGACGATTCAATAAAACCTTATGGAACGTGATAAGACGTAAACACTGATTGTTTTTATTTCACGTGTCAGATGTGCTCGAGTGCTCGAAAAACGCGTGCGAGCGCCAGCTCAGCCAAACTGTGACTGAACTTTCATCCCTTGATGAGGGGGATGAAGATTCCCTAGGTTCTCACCCCCTTGGTTTTCAAAATTTGCTATGCAACGCCAGTCGATAAACAGATCCTGGGAAAATTGGCTTATCGACGCTAGTCGACAACCGGGGCATTATCACTGGTGATACCGTTCTACGGAAACCCGGGGCTCTTACCCCTCGATTGTGTCGGTAAGTGGGGGTAGACGGACTCGAATTCCACTCTTATCGGCCCCCAACAATTGTTGGTATTGTCAATTAGGCGGTGAGATTTAACATCATCAGTTGTTGGATGAAAAAATTTGATTTCAAAAGAAAGTCCTGGTCTCTGTCAAAAATTCGATAGGGTTCCCTAAAACCGACGTGATTTTTTTTTCATTTTCATAATTTTATTTTCTATCGAATTAATACATGTGATATCAACCGTTACTTGATGTAAAAATTGAATTTTATAAAACAGTTACTCACTTCCCTCAAAAATTATCGGTGAGACCCCTGGAACTGGGGTGAAATTTTTCGCTTCGATTTTCATAATTTAGCAACTCTGGGATTTTTATTATCTTTTTTTATTTATACTGATTGATAAAACGATTGATTGTATAAATAAGTTACTCTCTACCCCCGAAAATTCTAGATCATGTCCCTGGAACTGGGTGAATGTTTTTTCAGTAATTATTTAACAGATTCACACCAGCGTTTATATGCCGAGCCATTCAGATTTGACTACCGAACTCGTGTTTACGATCAGCAATTACCCAAATAATCACCATCAATGGGTAGTCTGATGCCCATTATATCCCATTGAGTATGGGATTGGGTTCAGTAGTCGGCCTAATTTCCCCGTGAGTTACGGTTAATGTGAAATGAAAAATATGCGTCTCGCAGATCTCCAAAATATTTGAGCAGACTCTAGGATGGTGGTGCCGATTTTCCAGCACCCTAGGACACCCTCATCATGTTTATCTATGCGAGTACTTATTTAAACGGAACAGTACTCATAATACGAGGAGCGAATGATTTTTAATTATTAGGAGACTGATCCACCTTGCCAATAGGATGTCTACATGAGGAAAGATTCGAGACTGATTGATGTCGTCGCTCGGTTCTAAACTGCCACATGAATAATTAATATTTATTTATTATTATCAATTGCCATTTATTTATTATTATCAATTGCCATAAAAGGACGGCAGAGGAAATGTGGAGTTTGGGAGCAGAACGGCTGTGTTTGGTGGTCAGATGTCTTTTCCCGGGCGGACACTCACCCATTTTTATCTTGTCTCTAAATGTATCAACGTGTGTTGCCATGGGGCCAAATACACCACCACATCCACGTCGTTGGCCCTGGGTGATGCAAAGAGCGGTGAAGCTAGGGTATTTAACTGTTCCATTTAAATATCTATATACGCAAAGGTAAATAAAGGCAGGATAAACAAAAAAATGCGTGAAAAAATTCAAACCAGGATTGGGACCGAAGTGCCTGGTGTCAATCGGCTAAATAATTATCATTTTTTTTTAAACTTTGATTTTAATCATTTTAGCGATTCTACAAGTTTTATTAACCTCTATGGGTCAGTAAATAAATTCAACTGTTGATAGATTTAAAAAATTGAATTTTGGGGAAAAGGAACATTTCACCCCGCAACATCCTAGATGAGCTTCTGGGACCGAGCTCGGAATAAAGAAAAATCGGATTTTCAAATTTTCCCAACAATTCACCCAAGCTTCTCGTAAAAAATCTTTGGACAATCGAATCATCATTTCCACTTTTAATTAGGAACTTTTTTAAAAAGGCAACTACACTGGACTAATCAATTCCAATTAAAATCCCTTTGAAAACACAAACATCCAATTACCAGTCTTCCATTTCATAGCAGAATTCTATATTTGGAGTAATCCCTAAATCAATCCTCTACGCAGTGATATTAAAGCTAAACAAGGACAACTGTTAAACGTCAATCCAGAAATTCCCAAAACTTTCAGAAATTAAAAGATCGATTAATGAGAGAGGGAGAATGTGGCGATAAATAGCCGGTGGTATATAAGACGCCTTCCCCCGCAATAACTGGAGCTTAAAGTTCCTCATTTCTCGCTCAAACCCTGGAGTCTCCATTCCCATTGGTGGACCCGTGGACAAGCCACAGAGCACATTCTCTCGTTATCCTGTCCACGTTTTAATATAACAGCTCCACCATAAAATCACTAGTCTCAGGTGCCCTTAAATCTCACGATCCTAGGTCTGACCATTGTCACCCTAACCATCAGCTTTTTCCCTCTGAGATGATATTTTCTCCATTTATTTATCTCCCTTTCCATTCCTAGTTCCTGAAGGAGTTTCTGAGGGGAAAAATCTCGTTAAAAAAGTGCAGAAATGCATTGAGAAACATCACGATAGATCTCTATTTCACCTTCCGAAGGAAAATACGAATTTCTGTCCCACCTTTCCTAATTACTCGATGAAGTAGTGAAAGGCAGATGGATTGGGGTAAATCCATGGCATCGCAAAATAATTTCTTCTTTTATTACGTTCCCTCTCAAAAATAATTCTTGTTGATTCCTCAAACCGAGAAGTTAAATATTACGACATATTCCATTATTAGCGCATATTCCATTATTCCCTATCTATCCCCCCTTGCCGCGGAATTTTTCATCAGCCTTTCCCAGATGTAATAACCTTTTGCATCCACAGGAAACGACGTGGAATGGGAAATCCGATCTACTCCTGGTAGTTGGTAAAATGTCTTGCCAAGGTGGAGAGAAAAAAAATCCTTTTCACCTCGAATAACTCAATCACATCGACTTCTTGTTTCATTTACGCCACGAAAATAGTGTGATATTTTTACCTCTACATGAAATTCTTTCAAATTTTCGAGAGAACTAAGAAATTTTCGAAAATTCACTAAATTTCGAAAATTTATCGATCATACGAAAAAAGTAGTCATACCCTCTCCAGGTTATTTTTAATGTTCATTCGGTTGATGATGGACTTCTACTTGGAGAATAAAAATGTCTCTTATACCATTTTGAAAAGAAACTCATCACTTATCGTACAGTTGAATTTTCTCGCAGATATCTTGTGTAGTTTTTGGATTACGTAATTGTCCGAGTAATTTATTCGATTGAGATTTAGCGACGACCTCGTGGTGGCGCGTCGGTTTCGACTGACGGGACTTCCCCTTACGGTCATTCGAGATATTTCGAGATATCTCGAGATATATCGAGATATATCGAGATCGATTTCCTTTCTCCTATTTATATTAGGAATATTAGAATCTTCGATTGAAATCAAAGATGCCAATCATTAAAATCAAAGGTGAAATCAAGATTTCAATCAATTTTAGGCTATTTGTATTCCTCATCCGGATTTTCCATGTATTTATCGTCATCCAATGAAGATCTATCTCATATAAATTTGCGAGTCTGAAGAGAGTTTTTCTCTAAAATTCTGTAGAAAAATTTGGAATGTTCTATAATCTCGATACATGATACTGCGGTGTAAGAATTCAGGAAAATAGAAAAAGATCCCGCAGCGATTCGATTCCCCAGAAATTCTAAACAGCAGGAAGTGGAGGACGAGGAACAATGAAGGAAATGTCATCGATACCCTCTCGAAGCACGAATCAGGCCGTGATATTCAGGTCTCGTTTGAGAGCTTTGTCGAGGGGAAAATTATGGCCAGAATACTTCACCCCGACTCACTGATTAAGACTTTCTCATCCTTTTGAATATCCCTGACGGGCTACACGTGTCCCACCAGCTACTATACGAGCGTTACTTGCTGATCGACATCGAACGTGTTTTCACCCGGGATAAAAATTTCACCCATACAACCTCGACTCTGAAAGCCGCAAGGTGCGATATACACGAATGAAATCCATACGACGATGTCAAATATCACCGGGACGTGATCATTAGATATGAATGATCGTCAGGATAGCATGAAAAGGGAGTCAGATAAAATCCATTTGGGATGAGCTTGCTGAAAGATCCGAGTGCATCCAAGCTTAATTCGAAAACTATATGAAACCCAGTGCTATTAATTTCACTCGGGAAGCTCTCGACCCTCCTCACTGTGAGAATTGCACGAAAAAAATAACAGCGTTTTGCCTTCTCCGTTGTGGAAGGGAATTCGCTGTTCCGCTTTCCTCAGACTACATAATAGAGAGTTTTTTCTACAGGTGGAGAGTCTCAATTTTGAAGGCAGAAACCCACAGAGCGACACGGAGTTTAACAACGTTTTCCGACTTCAAATGGCACTCGTTAAGAACGCAAATATAAAGAGAGAAGAATGGAGGCACAAGTTATAATTTTGCGTTAAAGAATTATTCCGTGAGGTAGATACTGAAGGTGTACTGTGTATATATGTACTGAATATAATTATAATAAATATAATGCACGTAATTAAATTTTCCAGTTTTTTTGTCGGAAAATTGTGATTGCACGTAAATTCTATTGACATTAGTTGAGAAATTTGAATCATTCTAAAGTAGAACAAAACTTGATGAAGAACTAATGGCGCTGAGAAAAAAAAAGTGTCGATCAAGTATTTACGTGATCCTCATTTCTTCGTTCTTTGCTCCTCGATTCCAATCCAAAATGACGCGAGTCAATATTTTTTAATACAGTTTTCTTATTCTCATATTACCATAGCGCGATTAAAACATATCTACTTGATTCAGGTACACGCAGAATTGAGTCAAGTGTATAATCGATTGCCAATAGAATTTTCGAAAGCCAGATGAATGTTTAGTTGAGTGCCATGCAAGGGGAATTTCTTAATTCTTAAAATAAAAGCCAAAAAACATTCCACACCTCTGTGGATGATACGAAATTACACAGCCCTCGGCAACGAAAGAACAAAACCAAAATTAAGATCCACATTCTTCTTTGAAACAAACAAAGCAAGTAAAAAATAAAAAACTGAACAGCCGACAGATCGGTACGTCTCCACCAGAGATGCCCTATGGTGTTTTTTTTTACAAAATGTATCTTTTTAATTTTAGGCAGTCGCGAGGTTCTTGCGATTGCATTTAATTTAATCAATATCGAAATAAGTAAATATGTGACAAGTATAGTTCTTAAAACTATTGAAGAACGAAATGATTCCGAAAAATTTCAATAAAACAAAATGAATAGCTCTTTCAAGTTGAAAAATAAAATGCTGCCTTGTTACCATGTTTACGCGCAAACCATCGTTAATAATATGAGAAGCCAATGGCATCACAAAACCGCCAATATCAATTTATCTGAAGAGCCCTTAAACCGAGGTATACGGAGAGTAGTACCATCTCCACGAAGTGCATTATATGCAACAACGGATACGTCGCATTAAACGACTCTCTAGTGAGTGACTTCAAGAGTCACCCAGTACGAGTTGAGAAAGGAGATACCGCAAAAAGAAGTAATAAGGCAGAGGGATAGAAGTGATACGGACAAAAATACAGTTGAAAGTGAGAAAGACACTCACCCCTTGGAGAGTAGTTTCTGTCTTCACCCAGGTAGAATGGCCCTTGGCGTACCACGATCTCGTGAACGATTATGGCAAAACTGTAGACGTCTCCTTTCTGAGTACCCTCAGGCGGTGGTCTCTCCATCCTCAATAACTCCGGCGATGTCCACAGTTGCTCTGAAAAATGAGAAAAATAATACTTTGAGCATTACTTTGAATTTTTTGCTCGAGCATTATTGCACGGAGTTGCCAGAAATAAGTTGGGATACGTTCCAGTTCAGTAGTTTCGATGATATTTGAGTTTGGAGATGAGTCATGTCAAAATCAAATATCAGAGAGGATGTTTCTCAAAATTCAACATTTTCGTTTCAGTTCAAACTAATTTCAACATTAAAAATACGTGATTTGAGAGAAATTGTGGAAAACTGTGATTTATGTCATTTATGAGATATTATTATGAGAATTGAGTCCGATAAAGGGCATTAGAGGAAAAATCGATAGCCTGAAAAATTTTCTCATTTCGGAATTTAATGTGGAATGTTGAAAATTGGAAATTGAAAAGAAACTGCGGTTAGGACGGACGCGGCAATAATTGAAATAAATGAAAAATGAGAAATCCTCAATATAGAAAGATCAATATTGCGCACTATATTACGCGTTAATGGCATTAATTTTGATTTTCACATTTGTGATTATAAACCTCGTTTTCGGCGTGGCTTGTAAACCTCACCCAAATTTACGCCCGAGTGGCGTGCGTTATTTCACATTTAATGAAGTGTAAAATAAAAATAACAAACAGACACCTGCGAAGTTTCGTTAACATTTTTTATTTTAAACTTTTCCTCGAAAATCACAGGCCATCTGAAATTGATCAATCTTATTTCCCTAGTCCACTGGTACAATAAATTGTAAAGAATTTAGTCAGATCCCATGTAGTAAAATTAATTAAATTATAATTAATTCGCGTTTCATTAGAGAATTTAAGTGTGTTACACAAAATGACGGTTGCAAGAAGGAAATCAGTGGGTTCATTATACCCCATTTTCTCAATTTCCTTAACAATGCCGGTACTATATCTCATTTGAACCTTACGACATTTCAACCTCAAAATTAGAATGCGATAGATATTTTTCTTTATTATCAAATCGTATTCAGTCCACATTGTGGCAGGCTTCCCTATTCTTTGGTTCTCAATTGATTAATAATTAGTGTAGTTTGACTTTGAATAGTCGAAGTTGAATTGAAAATTTAAGTGAATTTGGGATTTCTGCAAATTTATATACGTGGGTTTTCGACAAACTTTCGTATTTATTCTCGCCACGTTTTCTCTTGAATAGAAAGCCCGAAAAAAAAATTACACCCGTGTTTCCCTGAATTCAATATTAGAACCAGGATCGAATCCAAGGTTGCGTTATGCATCGGGGTAATTGCACCAGAAAGAACTACTGAAGCACGTACACATTGAATAATCAAATGGTATAAATAAATACGAAACAAAAGTGGTGAAGTGGAATTATTCTATATCAATTGAAATATCTTACTTCTCCAGTGTGCATAGCTATCCTTGTCGTCCTCTGAATCATTGGGGCAGGGCTTTCGAAGTGCATGAAGACCAAAGTCCGTAATTTTGAGGACAAATCTTGAATCGACGACACAGTTTGAGGATTTCAAAGAGCCATGGCTCTTGAGTTCAGAGGCGTGGAGATATGCCATTCCTCTAACTATGTCGTGAATCAAAGAACCTCGGAAAACTCGGTCCAATTTTATCTGGTCGTTCTCCAGAATGTCCTGGAAACAGGTAAAATACCGAAAATAACTCTTTTTTCCGTAATAGCTACGTATAATGCCTGTAGAGATTTTTTTTGAAAAATTGAATTAATTTACCATTTAATAACATAACATAGCTGATGGGAGTCAAGAATAAAATTGAGTCGAACTCAGTTAAGTGAACAGCTGGAAGATAATGACCGGATCATATTATGATCTTTTGCGAACTCTGGGTAATATAATAATACTAAGTCCTGGTAAAGTTCTTCATACCTTATCACGCGTTAAATTGCATTCAACCTAGTTTATATAAATAACTAAAAATCATGTACCTTCAAAAGTGGGAGGGAAGGACAAATTCCGGACCTCTACCCACCCATAGAAGGTTACTAAGTTTATATCCTGAAGGGATGAATTCATTTAATATCAAGTTCCGCCACTATATGAATCACTTCCTTCAAGAATTCTCTTTTCCTGTTCTTCTTTGAAAAAAAGATGGTAACGTTGGTTGGTTGATTGGTTGTCAGCAATTTATTCTGCCATGTATACGTTCAAAATAATTCATTCTTAAACTTATATACTTCTTATTTTATATAATACTGATTGTCGGCGCGTGTTCCGCACGCGATTTCATGCGAAATGTTTGAGGTTTTGCCACGACGTCGTGGGGGCGGATCGCATTTGTCTCACAGGTCTTACCCTTACGCTCATGCGAGATGTTTCGAGATCGATTTCCTTTTTCCTTTTTATGCAAGGACAGGAAATAAGTGGTAAATTAAATCAAATTTTCCTTATTAAAAAAGCAAGTTGATTCCCAAATTTTCGCGATTTTGTGAATGTCTAAAATTTTTTGAATTTTCAAAATTTTGCCGCTCCTCCCTCCCTGGGTTAAATTTGTCTAATAATTTGCAGCCTGCAACAGGTTCTGTGATGATTCTCAAATTTTTATGATTTTCAAAATTTTTTACATTTTTTAAATTTTCAAAATTTTGCCGCTCCTCCCTCCCTGGGTTAAATTTGTCTAATAATTTGCAGCCTGCAACAGGTTCCGTGATGATTCTCAAATTTTTATGATTTTCAAAATTTTTTACATTTTTTAAATTTTCAAAATTTTGCCGCTCCTCCCTCCCTGGGTTAAATTTGTCTAATAATTTGCAGCCTGCAACAGGTTCTGTGATGATTCTCAAATTTTTATGATTTTCAAAATTTTTTCAATTTTTTCAATTTTCAAAATTTTGACGCCCCCCGCTCCTCGACACAAATTTGTCTAATAATTTGCAGTCTCCCTTGGCTTTCGCAGCGATCCCCACATTTTCGCGATTTGTTTAAACTTTTGCCAATATTTGAATTTTTCGAATTTTCATCATCCATAGATTCCCTTCTGAGAAGTTCGAAATTTGGGGTGACAGAATACGCAAATGTGGTTTTTGCGACAAAAAAACACCTCACTAGAAAGACGTTGATTAACGAAAAAATCAGCGGAAATTTTTTTAACAGAAGAGCACTTGGTGTTTATTGGAATGTAATTGACTGACCTGGAGTGAACCTTTAGGGCAGTACTCAGTTAATAGACAGCAGTGTGGTGGTTCAACACAAGCACCGTAAAACCGTACTAAATGATCGTGCTGGAGGTCCTTCATCTGAAACAGTAACAAACCAACCATCCACGTAAATAAAACTACCTGTCGCATGCAACCGAACGGAATAAACAAAATTGACGAGTCATAAATGGACCTGTAGTAAGCCATCATATTTTTTGCGGTAAAAAAAAATTCAAGAATCCCCAAATATCGTTCACTATCAAACCATAAAGAAGACATCGATAATTTTGGTACAGACCCTTTTCAACTCCAGCAATAATGGCCTCGATATTTCCACTTTATTCCTAGGAATTGGTTTAATGGCAACCTTAGAATTCTGAAATGAAAAATTTCCATTTACTCCACAATATTTTTTTCCGGAATTTCATGAAGGATATTAAATCAAAATAATTGGCAAAACCAAGGGAAATGTCTCGAGGGGAAGAGACCTTAATCGGTCCGACGAAGAGATGCAAAAGCTCGTGTCGTGAGGTAAAATTAGAGGGGGAAAAGCTGACAGGAAAATGAGGGAAAAATCTACTTGTCAACTGCGTGTACGGCAGAATTTTTTTTATCTCAACAATTTGATCTCCACTTTCTTATAAAAAAAAAAATTCAGGCTTTTCCACTTTTATCTTGAAATAGTCTGGCTCGTAACAAGAAAATCATAGCCCTCACCTTGTAGATTGCAGTCGGAATATAGACATTCCTGTCGACACCTCCAGCGAGACTGATATTGTCATCGGAGTAAATAGTCTAGAAATAAAAAAATCTCCTGTATGCAGAAAAAACAATTACCGAGGGATCTGTTTATACCCCACTTCTCGCACTCTTTTTAAATGAAATTGAGGTCCTGGAGGTACAAGAATGAAATTCATCCTGTGTTGAATATAATAGCGAAGCCCTTTGACGTATACCCCTGACAAAATGTACCTCTAGATAAAATGCATTATTAACTATAATAAATTGTCTTCGCATGCTTCGTCACAAATAAAATATCTTCCCAAAGCCGGAGAAAATACAAGAAGGGACAGAACAATATTTACCAACTGGCTACCGCGCTGTTTGTTGCCAGTTAGGGAATACATGGATCCTCTTGTCTTTCTCGGTGCCATAACTATCACGTCCTCCCAATGCACTTTCCACGTCATGGATGCGATTTCCGCCTCTAACTTGTAATGCCTGAGGTAAAAGAGAGACAAAGTACATGAAAACAGCAATATATCTGTACACTTGAGAGAGTAAACATTTTTTTACATTTCACTCCTATTCATTTTATCCCATTTTCCGAAGCTAAAATGTCCTGCTTCCCTCCGGGACATAAATTCATATCGTCAAAGGAAAAAAATCCTAACCACATAATCCACCGGTGAATTTTCATGTCACAAATAAAACCAAATTCATCTGCATTTTCAATATAACGTCCAAACTTGACAGATAATCACTGAAAAATCTCATAAACCGCGACAAATTATTCCTCCATGCTATGAATTATATCAATTCCAGGGATTAATTACAAATCCAATGATCAATATTAGAGAAAGATTTCCTCGTAAATTCTCGTTATTCCCACAATCCAACCTCAGTGCGGAATGCATTAAACTGATTTACATGCACGCACCACTGGCATTCATTGCATTATCGATATGTTCCCACTGGAATTGCTTAAATTAAATTCAAAGTATCGAATATGATAATTTACCGTTGCACCATGATTGAGAATATCAACGTTGAACGTCGCTTCTTACAAGTTTTTTATTTAAAATCTTGCCATTAGATGATGAAAAATTAGATTAGATGAAAAACATTAAAAATTAATAGCTCCTCTTTTCCTACACCGACGAGCATCTCAACTATATTTTTTTTTTCAGTTTCATTCAGTTTTATTTAGGATTGACATAAATGTCTTCCGCATGAAAAGGGTCCACTTTGTCGATTTCTAGTTTATGAGATAGTCGAATTTTTCTCGTAGGGTTAAAAATTATTATTTTTTTATTATCTCAGACTTAACTAGAACTCTGCCTGTCTCGAATAACACGTATTGAATCTTATCGTCTCAACTAGAAAAGAATTATTTTGATTTTTGAAAAAAAAAGGAAAGGACCCACTTCTTCTTGGTTTCCCAATATTAAACTTTAAATCGCCATAACTTCACGATTCTTCAACCCAGATGATCCAGGTTGGTCTTAAAATTCGGGCGATAGGACCTCTGTGGCCATCACTAACTCCAGATTAACAAAATGGGCCCTTTTCAGGCGGACGGATACACATGTGAATATCGACGTGTAAGCTATGATTTCTAGAAGTATCACGCTCATCATTCCTTCAATTCTTCCATCAATAGAAATAAAACGACGGGAAAATTATGTCAAATAAAAAAAATGGGCTCAAAGGGCTGTTAAAGTCGTCAGGATGAACTGATAAGGGTGAGTTTATCAATCCCGATCGACCGATCAAAAAGTCATCAAGCAATCGTAGCGATATCTCATATATACCGAGAATATCCTCTAGAACACGCAATTAATTCCGATGTCGTGCTACAACCCTATCCGTCGTGCATGTCGAATAGCTTTGCATGCTGCCCCATATGCAATCCACACAGGTGGCCGTAGTTATGCGGATCGAAAATCCTATGGCAATAATGTGAGATATTTGCCACATGGGAGTATCTGCTGTTAATAAGTAGCTTTGAATCTAAATTTGTATCTCCACCGGCTTCGTTTGTACGGCACACAACTCGCTCAGAGTAATCGGTGGATAAATTGTCGAGACATTCTGATATTTCCCATACTAATGTCGGTAACGAAGAGGTAAAAAGGTGGAATTTTTCCTCAGTCCAATTACTGGGGAATATCTCAGAATCTAAGAGACATGGGGAAACTTTTGTTAGGGCCTCTTTTGTTGGAAGAAATGAGACCTGCAAAAAAGATCCTTAGTGAAATGTTACAATCTCGGTTGGTTTCGGAGATCGAAAACTAATCGGTGATCATCTCCTCAACATTTGTCTTCTCGGCAATTTGGGTCTTTGTCAATTCCGATTTCTTTATTAATTGGTCGTTTTGTTATTCAGTCAATAGAAATCGCAACTTTTTCATTTTTCGATCTAGTCAAATACCAATTTTTTTCATCCCCCGGTATCAAGCGAATTGAGGTTCAAATCTTAATTTATTTCGATATTTCATGGATTGCCAAAAGTTCCTTGAGTTCGGGGAAAAAACTCAGCTTCACACACGATTTGAAATTACACATGACATTTCAAGTAAAAAAAACTAAAAATTTGTTATAATTTTTAATTGAAGAATCATTTTTCATTTCTATATAGCACTGGAAGTTCTAATAACATTGAAAATTCAATTATATTTCATGTTAAATTTTTCCGATGACCATGAAACCTCAAACTTTCATCGAAAAATTAATGATTATTTAACATTTCAGCGTGCATAAACTGGGCGATTACATACGGGCTGAAATATACAACAGCGTACGCCACTCGAACATTAGTTTATTTTTTCACGCGTAAAAAAAAAAATTAAGTCCTTCGAAGCGTACAATACTGTAACATGAAAAACACAATTTTCATGAATTGTTGAAATAAATGAGAAACTCAGTGACCGTTTTTAATTGAAATGAAATTCAAAGATAATTGAAAATTCAAAAAAGCTTGCGACTGAAATTTCAAGTAATTTTCAAGCGTGCATATTGAGGTCTAATGTCAAACATCGATGGAAATCTTGTGACAATTATGAGTAATAAGGAGTTAAGGCAAGCTTCTTTGATACTTTCACAATTTCTCGAGTTGCAAATAGTTGCAAGGATAAAGTTGCAATTCCTCGACTCCTGGAGCCCTTATTACTTTGTATAGTATTCTTTGAATCCTGATATCTAATTTATTTCCATCCCAGACTCTCATTCCCACATTAATAAGAAAACATCACGTTTGGAGGGTACATCTCTATTAGAGTAATAATTCTGTGAGTCAAGTTGAAAAATTACGGATGAGGATTGCGAAATATACCTGTCACAAACTAAGAAATCAGAGAAACGAAGAGGCCGTTCCATCAATGACCACAACTAAACCAACTTCTTCCCACTTTCTGCTCCATCATAGTCAGTTAATCCCCCAATCCCCGCAACGAATTCACGAGGGACGAGGAAGAATGAAGTCCTCCCTCATCTACAGAGCGATAAAAAGACTGATTTTTATCCTAGGGTAGTCACCAACTACGAATCCCCATGAAATAATGATGAGTGGATCTACGGATATTACAACTGCAGATAAATAGGTTTACGTTATTCCTTCGTGACATGAATCTGAGATTTTTCAATCCAAATATTTAACACTCAATGCATAGAGTTATTATTACTTATGGACATTTTCCCTTTGGGATGAGAATTAAAGTATTTCAAGTATTTCTCACAATTTATTACGATCCAAATATTTGTTCCGCTCATTTCGTAGCCTTACAAATTGTAATTACTTGTAATAAGATTAATATTTACTAAACCATTGAGGTCCGCATGTACTATCTACCCGACTTAATATTTAGCTCGAATTTTATTTTATTAGTCCATTTAGATTTTGAATTGTGTTGCGGAATGGTTATGAAATAAATAATTATAAAAAATGGATATATTGCTAAACGATGGCACATCGTAATATTGATTTTGTATTGTTGTCGACTGCATCACATTTTCTAATATTTTTTTGTTAAATAATACATAATAATAAACATGTTCTTGGTAAATATGTAGATTTAGAGCCTCACATTTTTGTTTCACCGCGGATTTAAAAAACAAAATTCGTGTTATATTCCGAAAACATTCTGGGGCCAGGGTTGGGCGTTGGTTCGTTGGGTTTTCAGCGTTTTTTTTTTTTTTTTGAAGTTTCCAAAATAAAATTCAAATGAAAGATTACGTTCCATAGACAAGTTGTCTACAATTGCGGTGTTTAATTTTTATCTTTTGCTACCTAAATCCTCGTCAATGATTTTCAAAAACTCATATTATTGGGAGATCTCAGTTAAAAAATTGACACAGTACTCTGAATATCCTTGAATGTCCTCAAAAAAATCTGTGCGCATCCCCATATTTTCCTTAAATATAGCAGTCGAATTGATAGTAAATTGAAGTCCATATACCTGTAAATGATGACGGATACAACAACGAGTCCAACGACAATCGAGCTGAGAACAATGGAGAGAATAGCGTATCCCGGTAATGCTGTTGAAATGAATGAATAGTGAAAATCCGCTGAGCTATCAAATCAGCAAATTATCGTCATACGAGTGGTTAGAAAGACAGACATACAAACTGCCGATTAATACTCACTATTGTCCGGACACAAAGATCCATCGTATCCGCATTTAGGTGTGTCGGGTGGTGGCTCCAATCTACCCCCCGACCAGTGTATCCGTTTACCAGGTACATACTCAAGGGTTTTATTAGCTCCATAATAATTCGCAACGATCTAGAAACAGTTTATAGTTGATCATTCAACAGTACCAATAACAAACAGTAAATAAACCCATTAATCACCCGAGATTGAGTAGATAAAATGGCTGAATTAACTCACCTCGAATTTCGAGGTTTCAGGATTCATGTCTAAAAGTGAATAGTCAGCCAGTCTATCCCCATTCTCGTCTATCGTTACATCCCCAGTAATACCTATAATCCAAACAAAAACCATCATCTGAATGAGCCACAGCTCCATGTTTTCCTCAGATTTATGCAGAAGTGAATGAAGATTGAAAAATAAATCTGCACCATGCACTAGCATTTTTTCCCTTCTTAAATCTTCGTTCTCTGCAACACAGCACGATATACGATCCTAATACCAAACATTGAATGTCAGGGTGTAATTTTTGATCCCCTAAGAATGATGGATATGCCATCCCCGAAGTACCTCAGGTATCCATGAAAAATCATCCCCCATGAGCAACACATTTTCTCTCTTTATTCCCGGGGAAATAAAAAGTCGCTTCTCGTTTTGTATTTTCTACCACATGTGGCAGACACTTTGCCCCCGTATAAATCCTAGTGACTAAGACATGATAAATACAAGTGCCACGAGGGTTGACTAAAAAGCAATCCACGGTTACGACCAACGATCCATGAATTTTTATTCCCCCACCCAAAAAAAAAAGCCGTCAGAGACAATAACACTTGGACCATCAACAGCCCATTAATTTCAACCCCATGGCAACAAAGAATCTCGTAATTTGCCTAACTCACCTCTGAAGCTTTTTCCCCACATTCTTCTCGTCAAGTTTCCACCGTCGAGGTTAACCTCACCGGGTTTCTCCGGCAAACTCTCCTTCAGGGCAAGGGCATAGAGAAACACAGCGTCGTAAAATGCCGCAACAAATGTTGACAGTAAACTACTGCCAAATGTGAAGTTGTATTTGCTCTGTGCCAGTGATTTAACTTCACGTGAAAAATTCTGATACTCTTCGTTATCTGGTGTACGTGCCGTTACAGTTAACAACGACTGATATGCCTTTCTCGCTTTTTCATTTCGTTCATCAGTATCACCCTCCATTCTCCACCTTTCCTTCGAGTTATTATCGCTGTGAAAAGAGTTTTTTAAAGAATCTTCCAAAAATGTCCAGATATGTCAAATAATATTTATTTGAATATTCAAACAAAGAAATAATTCGACCGAATGACAAAAAATATATTTTCCCTTGGAATCTGAAAATTGCCTTCATAAGAAAAAATAGCTTACACACTCCGTTGACTCAATCGAGTGATATTTTTTTTACTTTTGGAATTGCTTTTTCAATACTATAAAAAATGCGATGCACCTTCCAGAGTCATGTTGCTAATTTATTGTCAAAAAATTCAGACGCGGATTAATGCTATAGGTAAAGGTAAATCATGACAATACATATGATAAATATAAATTCAGTTTCAATGTCGATAATTTCGATAATCGGTATTGTCCAAAGGTCAATCGAATGGTGGGTAAAAATGGTGAGTCTATTCTTGGGTGTGATAGCACTTGAATTATCCATCAGCCAAATGGTTATACCTCGGCAGTTGTTACGTGCACCAAGATTCCTATTTCCAGTGATAAAGCACGACTACCATCAGCCAACAATTCACGGTCTTTGTGACACGCGATGGATCTATTTCAATCATATCGACTCCTCCTGAAATCTTCCTCACTCCGATAATAAAACCACTAGCACACGATACACTGTCATATCAGCCCTCATGATCTATATGAACGATCGTTTGAGGTTTTTGTTCACGTCACTCAGCCACTCACCAATGCGGGGAGATTATTTTTTCAACAGCCAGTTCTCCTGGTTTCTTCAAAGGAATTTTATATTTCAAATAGGCTGATTACTCCCTTTGTGGTATTAAAAAAACCTGGAGGAGTTTGATTAGCCAGACAAAGAGAACAATAAAACGTTTTTCCCCTCTGGAGTTCATCAGAAATTCGATAAAACTGTCATCTGTGTGCGAAGCCATCTTCAGCTTCGCCAAATTCATCAAGATCGGTGGAGCATTGATATCTGTCAGTGCGTATGACAAACAAATGCAGGTGCAGTGAGCCGTGGAGTTGGATATTGCAAGGGTCTTTATTCAGCTTCTCCTGGGTTAATCCAATGAACCATTTCGCACAAACACTCCGAGAGTGCTAACTTGCACTTTGAACCACTCAAACCCTCGCTCAGCTACCCGTGGGAGTTTGTGGTGCTTTTTTTCTTAAACAATTTTGCGCTGTCTAGTCACTCGGCTATTTATACAGCCAGACTGGGGTTGGATTAAGATACCAGAGAAGTTGACGCTAACAAGTATCTTGCATTTATCCTGCTGTATTCACGGGTGGGAGGTAATTTTGTTGTCCATTAGAATGGAAAGCTTTCAGAGTTATGGGTGGGGATATTTCAGATTTTTTCATTTAACTCTTCGGGGATTTAACCAGATAAAAATTTCACATTATGTCTGAAGAAATCTGTACAAGAACGTGTCGCATTGGGTACTTCGAAATATGGGGCATTCTTCTTCAAATGAGACCCTGATTTTTTGCGGTGGTACAGATTTTTTTCCATTTTTGTAAAAAAGCCGGGCGAAAAGCATTTGGGATTTTTTCAGAGTTTTCGCACCATTTGTTCTTTTTTTTGTCTCGTTTGGTGTTTGAATTCAAATATCTTGTATCTCCGATTCTATTCGTGATCGAATAACCATTAAAAAACAATCAATTTTCTTCAAGGTTAACGAAAGAAAGTATATGAAATTAGAAAGAAGAGGACATATTTTCTTTAACCCACTTGGACACCATCTTCTATTACTGATATTTTCTAAGAATTTTTTTTTAAAGAATTCAAGAGGAAGATGCATTTTTTAAATATATTTTTTTACTGATGGAATTCATGAAAATTTGCAACTACGCGGTTTATAAATGTCGACTGAAGTTTGCAAGTTTTTACTCTGGTGACATATATTTCAGGAAAATTTTAAAATTATTAGAAATACACGGAAATTGGAAAATTTTCGATTTTCTATCCCTGGAAAATACGAGATATTCCTGAAATGATTTATCCGCGAATCGCATTGGAAGTAAGTCTTCGGAAAATTCATGAATTTCATTTTACATTTTGGAATGCATTAAAAAATCATACGTACACAGATTTATTCTCCATTTCATACGATTTAACCCTCACCTTTTCTTTTCTAAACTATGCAAAAAAGTGGTAACTCACCTGGATGACAATTCAATCGAGAAGAAGACGTATTCCCCGGAGTCGACCATTCCCAGTTCCTCAGCTGCCAAGAGGATTTCCCTTATCGTTGTGGAATTGGCACACATGACGACAACTGAAACGAAGAAAAAAAAACCAGGAATAAAAATGCCATCATTAAACAAGTATTGACACATTAAAATATTGTCGCGATGGAGAGTAAAAAAAAAGAGTTGAAAGGCGTAAGTAGTGCGATCAACTTGAAACAAGGGGTTAAAAAAATTCATCGAGTGTGCAGAGTGAAGGAGTAAGTCAAGAAGCATTTGAGTTTGGTGTTCCATTTTACTTTGAAGTGGATTTTCCAAATGGGCTGATCAAGTTTGCCCACTTTTGGTTATTCAGTTCATGGCTGCTCACTCAGCGATATTGTGCACCGGTATTCATTATTATATTGAGGCGAGGTGAAGTGCAAATACTCAAGATACCACAGCAATTCTTCGAGCTCAATGATAAGGCGTGCGCAATGCTTTTGTTCAATTTTTACGTTTCGCGTCATTTATTTTCTCGTAGATGAGTCTGAAATTGTGGAATAGGTAACATCTTGCGAGGTGTTGATAACGCTACAGATGCTGGGGAGGGGTGCATTGTACCAGCCTTCCGTTTCAAACGAGACGAAAATTCAGCGCAAAGTGCATTGAGATGTACATCAAACACCGAGGGAATACAAACAAGTAAGAGGAGAGATTCGACCTTTGTCTTTACTCTGGAAGTGGTGAGACAAGGTGTGCAGCACTCTCGAGACATCACGAAACCTCGGAGAATATTTATTATGAAACACGAACATCGAAAACACTTAGAATTTTTCTCTAACTAAACAACTACATATATACTATATATATATATATAAAAACAGTCATTTAAGGGGACCAATAAACGACTTAGTCTCGCTTGGAAAAAGTTTGGCCAGATGTCTGAAAAATGGCTGATGTACCCTGCATGAACGACTCAGTAACTTGACCTGAAAAATGACTGTCATAATATAATTACCTCTTCATCAATGTTTATACCAAGAAACTATCAGTAGGTCAGAATTTCTGACGAAATTTTGAATTAATACTGCTCCAAGAAAGTTGTAAAAAATTAAGATAAAAACTGTGGCCTTTTTTATTTATTATATATTATCATATGCAGGTTCAGAAAAAGCGAAATTTGGAAATGGATTTCAAACGGGCCACCCTAATATATATATACATAATGAGAGTAAATCATTGTTCTATTTGATAAACAATTGTTCGTTATGAGTTATATAGTAAATATGAAATACTAGTAAATATTTTATACGGATTTTTTTTAGTAGAAAACACGGATTAAGGTGTTCCATTCGAAAAGGGTAAAGGATGAATTTTCTTTGGAATTCATGCAGGATGTTGATGACTATAACAGAATTAATTGTCTATAAATTTCCCTCAAGTTTTTTCAGATTTCCTTTCTAATTTATTAACAATCGAAGTCTCCTCTTCAACATGGATTCTTCTGGGCATCTTCAAGTTTAATCAAAAACTGTGTTACCACCTAAGATGGTTATATATAATCGTTTAATGTTATAAATCTTCGAAAGAACCCATGGACAAGAGGAGATGTCGATCATTAATAAATCGAAAATCACTTCTGAAAAAATCGGAGGAAATTCATAAACAATTCCGCTGTATATCAACATTCTGTATGAATTTCAAAGACAATCCATCTTTTGCGTTTTTCAGATGAAACCTCTGAAAGTCTCCGAGTAATCGAAACATTATCGAATTATATTTCAATTGTCCTTAATTGTTGTATCAGAATACATATATATTTATTGTATAACAAAGAAACATTATATATATATAGGATATTCTGAATGAACTCGAACTCTACATAGTCATATAATAATCTGTACAATATGAAAAAAAATCGGCGATACAATCGAAGGAGATAAAATTGTGAACCGGGTTGAGTTCACTCAGAATACCCCCTATACAGATATATTCTACATAAAAAATTAATTATAAAATTGAAAAATAACAAAATAATAAAAACGGTTGACTTAATGTTTCATACACAACCATATAAACCTAGGTCTGAGCGATGCAAAAAAGATCGGTAACAAAAAACATGACCCATTTTTTTTATTCAGAAAAATTAAACCGGTGGAAATCACGGTGATGTCAACCAAACTAAATCGAATTCCATTGAATTCAATGGAATTAGTTGCGAGGTTTAATTAATCAGCCGATGGTCAAGGTGTTTACCACCGGAGAGAGGATTAATTACGTCAACTTCCGGATGATCACCCAGTTTGTCCTCCAATTAGATCAACAAATGTTTAACCAGTTGCCAACGAAAATGATAAATTCTGTGTGGAAAAAAAAGTGGGGCTCAAAGGGATACATCTGTCTCTGTCAATGGCATAGAGAAAGGAGAAATGGAATAAGGCTGTCATGTCGTAGGAAAGCCTGTCTGTTTCACCTCAGGCTTGCTGAAACTAATTTATAATCAAATAGCTGGAGCTGTTCATGTGTACTGTGACTTTTAGAATACTTGGGCCAACTCGGCGATAACAATTGAATAATTTTCCACTGGTGCATCAACCCGACTGTTCCATTAAATTCATGGAATGAATAAATGGAGATTCGAAGTCGGGGCGCGTTCCTGGAATTCTCGGTCTCTCACCCCCACAGACTCTTCCACCCCGGAAGGACCTTCAGAGGTCTCGGAATCCCTGTGGAATCGTGGAATCGTGGAATCGTGACCCCAAACGACAATCATATGGCTAAAGAAAAAAATCTACAGAATTTATATTCATTTATTGTAGCGTCAAATGTTTATATCTGGCTTTTCTGTATATTTTCGTTAGGTGTAATTCAAATCGTTAACAGCAATCGTGACGCCAGTGTCCGGGATTTCGTCTTTTTAAACTCGTTGGATATTGGTGCTAGGTAAACATTTACAGCGCGCTGCATCGTTAAATCATTTTATTGCTTCTCGACCCAGTGATTGTGTCTACACTCTGCCGTTCCAATGCTGAGTTTTTTCAAGGGGAAAGCGATTTGTAGAATGAATTTCTTGAGAAAGCTCTGTCATTACTACCAATTTCTTGGACAATGAACTACCCACTACTTCGTTCATTTATTTCTTAATCATCTTCAAATTTCATTTATTCATTCGGCTACTGAATTGACGCAATTTTTATTAAACAAATAATTCATTGTCATGATAATGCACATTTTGGTTCGATTATTCTGTAAAAATCATTAAACGGTTTGTAAAATTCCAGAAAATCTATAATGGAATGTATCATCTTTTGCTTGCGAATGGAAACATTGTAATCATTCTAGTTTAGATGCTATTTTTTAAAATTTAATTTAATTTAATTTAATTTTAATTTTTTTTTTTTTTAGAACCCGAAAATTCGGAAAATGCAATTTCGAGAACGTGTCCGTTGGTATATATGTATGTATGCATGTATATGTATGTATGTGGAAACTTTCTTAAACTTATATCCGACACAGACTTTTTTCCCTCGCATTGAATGGAATAATTCTTCTCTTCTCGGGAAATTTTGCGATACGCTGACTGAAGATGGCTATTTTTCCAAAGTATTAAACCCAGAAATATCTCAAAAAAAAATATTTTCCTCCATCTCTCGAGATAAGAAGACAGCAGTCCCGAGTTGCGCCAACTGTCGCCTTGAACCGAGTATTCCCATGCCAACAACAGTCTTCCACCCTGAATAGAATTCTGAATAGCGAGAAATACCGATGGATTATTCGTTGTGATACGTCGAGACAGTGGTATCTATTTTTCTCACACATGACGAGACAAATCCAATCTCTTTCCCTGCTTATCCCCCCGTCGAATTCGCTTGAGCACAACGAAACACCAGAGACAACTCCATCGAGAGCCAAAAAAAAAGCTTCCAACATGAGAAAAAACGTTGAAGATGAGAAGTGGGGAAGTCAATCTTTCTTTTATCCCGATAATTCCCAACTTTCCAGACGCAGCTCCCATCCTCATTACAAGTTCTCCCACGATAAAGAACTACTAAACAATGAAAAAAGAGATGAATCCACTGGATTAAACAATTTGCGGATTGAATGGAGACTCATTCAATTAATTCAGCAGTATTTTCTACATAATATCTCCATCTAACGTCAAATTCATTCAAAACTGATATAAAATTGAATTCCCTTGGAAAAAGTCGGGATTATCGAGTGTAGGCCCATCTCAATAAAAATATCTAGCGATTGCCAGTGCCGGGACTCTTACTGCAGCCCCTGAATAATTCAATTGGCACTTGTGAATCCTTCAAACTATCTGAGCTGTGCTCTACCATCACTCTGGCACTTTTGTTGAGGAACTCCTGACATGAAGGGCCATGCACTTCAATAATTACAGTGAAAGTAATATAGTTAGTCTTCTCTAGTTTTCATCGAGTGAAAAAATTACTCCTCAAATTTCAAGTGAAGAAAGTTGAAAATTAATATTTTTAACAATTACTGATAATCAAAAATAATCTTTCATTCTCCAGATAAACTCAGCTCAACCCTTCATTGAGAACCAACACTGTTGAATGTCTTTTTTCAATCACAGAATGACTATCTGAAATAATGTAATTGTTTAAATTTTGGATTGTATAAATTTTGGATAAAAAACATTAAAGCATAATTATAATTTTCAACTCACATGACGATGTACATTATTTTTCGAGTTTTTAAAAATATTATTTACTCTTTTTTCATCGTTGAAGATTGCCTTGACAGTCAATCAATCACCGCAGTATTAAATATTTAATTTATCTATTCATATTTTTTTAAGCATGCAAAAATAAATATTATTTCATCTTTTTTTTCAAAAATGTAATTTATGTTACATGAGAGAAACAGTGGGTCGTGAATTTTACTAATGCAAGCAAATTCACATATTCTGAATGCCAATATTTACTTGTGCCAAGCAAATTAACTCAGCAAAAATTAAAACAAAAAATTTAATAACGTCGGATTGCATTTTATGGTAAAGTTTCATCTGTACAGCTTTTGTGAATTACTGGAGTATGCGTTCGCAATTAAAAAATTCGAATCCCTTCAGAATCGATAAGAACAA